AGGATGCATTAGTAATTTTATTAATATTTTTGTTAACAGTTATCAATTAAAGAGATTGATATTGTTTTCTTTATTAATCAAACAAATTATGGAAGTTTTTTTCTATGAAGTTATAATTGAGAAAATAAATATATAATTCTTTACTGTTAAAACTTATTGGGTATGACAGTGGAAACATAGTGGTATCACAGTTGTATTCATCAACCGTATAGGGTATCATAGTGTGTATCACAATGTATTTTTGTTGTTATACGAAGTGTATCACAATATATTTTTATTGTTTTACGAAGTATAACACAATATATCAGGTAATGTTTTCTTTACCAAGTGTATCACACTGTGTTTTTTCGTTATTTTATGAAACGTATCACAGTATGCATCATGTGTTGATATAATGTTCGTTGGAAAGAGGATGTGTTTGACGAAGAGAGTTGAGAGGAGAGAGAAGAGAGGAGAGAGGAGAGAGGAGAGAGGAGAGAAGAGGGAGGAGAGAGAAAAAAAAAATTAAAACGACTAAAATTCCGTAATTAATATTTTAATTTAAAATTATCAAAATTATTATTTACCAATTTAACCATTGATTTGTGGTTGAGATTGGATTTCACGGTTAACACAAACTAATTAGTACTTCCTCGAATGTGCCTATATATACACATACTAGGTTCGATTCCCGTGTATTACACGGGGTAATTTGAAAAAATTAAATCATGTCAGAAACTTATCTTACAGATGTGAATGATCATTGGAAGTACGATGCTACTTCAAACTTGTACTTTTGAAATAACTCTTAATAATTGAATTTATACATGAAAATATATCAATAATTAGTTAAAATGAAGTTAACTCTAGAATAAAATTAAATTTAGAAATGAAACTATATATATCAGTAAATTGAATTTAAACTTAGACGTAAATTTAGAACGACTCTTCAGACTTGTACTTTAAAATAACTCTGATGTATAACTCTGAAGAATGATTTCAGACTTGGACTTGTACTCTTGAAATAACTCTGAAGTAAAACTCTTCAGACTTCAGAGCTCTGTATAGTCAAGAAAAATCAACTTTTGTCGACGTCCGAAAGAAATCCTCCACAAATCCTACACTGATTTTTTTTATAAAAAATAAAATTTTATTTCTACAACTTTTCTGACAGTTTTTCGACGGATTTGTAACGGATTTTTTACTTATTTAATATTGTCACAATTCCGTCGGAAATCCATCACAAAATTGGTCTAATTTATTTAAATAAACTAATTAGCGTTAATTAATTAAAATTTTCCGACGGATTTAAATTGATTTTTATATTTAATTATACTCCGTCGGAAATGTTTAAGAATTTTTTTTTATTCTTTTCCCTTCCAAAAAAATATGTTTAAAAAAATATTTCCAACAGATTTTTGAAGGATTGTAATTTTGTAATAAAAAATTATATCGGTCGGAATTTATTTAGAAAAATATATGTTTTATAAGAAAAATTAAAAAACTTCTTTTAATAAGTTCTGACGGATTTCCGAAGGAATATAACTCTTTTGTGTCGGAATATAACTTTTTATTATAAAAATTATTATCGGTCGGAAATTTCGAAGTTTTTAAATAAATATTTTTGGAAGGAAAAACATATAAATAAATAAAAAATTCTTTGAACATTATTGACGGATTTTCGATGGAATTTGCATTTAGAGGCGAGGGGTTTTCCGACTGCAATATTTGTCGAAAGGTTGTTTTTCCGACAGATTTTCGACGGATTTTGCCGTCGGGAAAACCACATTTTTTAGTAGTGTGTCAATTAAATAAGTATAATTGAACTGTTAATGTAAATTGTGTCTTCATACGTTCAAATAAGTCTAACTGAACCACTAATGTAAATTATGTCTAGATACGTGTTTAGGCGGGAAAACGATAAAACCGACTCACCAGAAGATGACACGTGTCACCCAATTACTTATTTATTATAAGTATATATATATATATATATATATATATAAAAGATGTTTGAGATGCAACTCATCACATTTGTACAATTAATGCAACCAATCAATTGAGATATTTATAGAAATGATAGACTTTATTTATTATAATTTGAATATTTATAGAAGATGATCAGGGTTAATTAATTATAATCAATACTTTATATTAAAAAACATTTAAAACTTTTATGAAATCAGATATTCATCAAATTAAATGAATGATTAAAATTAAATTATATTGGTTATATAAATGTTAAAAAATTGCATAATAATGACGTCTGCTTCATGATCTAAGTTTTCAAGCTGCTTGGGTGATATTCAAATCAATACGTATGGTTTTTTTGTGCACACGGAAGGATCTTGGAAATGTCAAATCTTTTGACCGTCAAATAAATGCATCAACTAAATCATTTAAATAATAATATTTATTTTTATATATTTTTCTTTAGAAACATGAACTTAGAAGGAGTGATGGGGAGATATTTTGTTTTAAAGAAAAAAGTTATTGTTTAATTTTTTATGTTTATTAATTATGGTATAAAAATAAAATTAGATTTCATAGTTCTCACAAATAATTAGAGGGATTTAAATTGAGAACTTTACGGTTAATGATAACTTTAAATTAAATGTTAACTAATCATTTAAGATAATTAATATTATTTTTTAAAATAAAATAAAATGGCAATTAGTAATTTGATAATTTCATTTTGTATTTAATTAGATTATATTTGATATCTCTTTCTCTCTCTCCACATTTAACAACTCTCTATCTATTACATATTTTCAATTTGTATTACCAAAATTAACATTTGGTGGCTGTGAACATGTTGAAACCAGTGGGTATCAACATGTGTACGATAAGTATCATATTCGGTATCATAACGTTGGTGTTGTGAACACATTATAAACGATGGATATCACAGCGGGTATCACAATAGGTATCACCATGTATATAATGGGTATCACAACGTTGGTGTGTGGACACATTGTAAACGAGGTGTATCACAGTGAATATCAACATCCATACAATGAGTATCACATATATACAATGTGTATAAACAATGTGTATATTGTATGTATATTGGGTAATATAGTGAAGATCGTTTGTTTGTAATTTTTTTAATTGAAAATGTCTTGTTAAGTAGCACATTGTGTATCTTGTGTTTACATGATGTTAGTCAAGGTTTGTCTGAATAAGGTTCGTTAGAGAGAGAAAAAAGGAGATTTCTAAAATACATAAAATACCATTTAATTAAAATTTTAAGTCAACATAATTATCAAAATATTATTTCTTTATTTATCATTTGATTTGTGGTTGATATTGGATATCACAGTTATCACAAATTACTAAGTTCCATATTGAATGACTCGCTATATATACTTCATTTGTGGATATATATATATAAAATTATGATAAAATTGACAACTGGTGCATCATATGTTATTGACATAATTTTTTCCATCCACAATTTAGATTTAGAGTGTTGATTAACAAATATTTCTTTAACAATGTGTTTATAAATTTCATATATATTTGTTTGTTCACAATGTGAAACAAACACATTGTAAAACTAATATATATTAATCAATTGAGCATTTGATGGAAAAAAAACTACGAAGAAACAATACCAAACGATAATAGTTCTTACAATTTTCACAATATATTGGCTATCAAATGATTAAACCTATATATATATATATATATATATATATATACACACACACACACACTAGAAAAGTACTCGCGCAATGCAGCGAGACACATCTCGATTTTAATGTTCTATTTCATTATTTGTCTCTGTCGATGTTATAATACGATTTTATGTGTTTTTAAGAAAGCAATAATGATTTTATTTTTGAATA